TTCTGCATTGAAACCATCTGGTACTGGGCTTTTTTTGGAAGGGAGATTTTTGATAACAGTTTCTAATTCTTCGCGACTAACAGGTCTATTTAGACCGTTCACCTGTTCTTGGTTTAGCTTTGGTATATGGTACTTATCTAAAAAAATGTCCATTTCTTTTGCATTTTCTAGTTTTGTGGCATACAGGCTTTTGTAGGAAGATCTAATGAGTATCTGAATTTCTTCTGTGTCTGTGGTTATGTCCCTCTTTTCATTTCTGATCTTATTTATTTGCGTGTTCTCTCTCTGTCATTTAATTAGTTTGGATAGGGGTTTGTTGATCTTGTTGATTTTCTCCAAGAACCAACTTTTTGTTTCATTGATTCTTTGGACTGTTTTCTGTGTTTCTATTTTGTTAATTTCCGCCCTCAGTTTGATTATTTCCAGTCTTCTACTTCTCCTTGGCGCGTCTGCTTCTTTTTTTTCTAACGCTTTCAGGTGTGCTGTTAAGTCCCTGATGTATGCTTTCTTTAAGTGGGCACTTAGTGCTTTCTTCTTAGCACTGCTTTCATAGTGTCCCATAGGTTTGAGTATGTTGTCTCTTTATTTTCATTAAATTCAAGGAAGACTTTAATTTCATTCTTGATTTCTTCCTTGACCCACGTGTGGTTCAGTAGTTGACTGTTCAGTTTCCATGAGTTTGTCGGTTTTCTGGGGGTAGCATTGTTGTTGCCTTCTAACTTTAATCCGTGGTGATCTAATAAAACACAGGTGGGCACTGATACTTTTTCTATCTGTGGAGGTTTCCTTTGTTTCCGAGTATGTGGTCAATTTTCGAGAAGGTTCCATGAGCTGCAGAGAAGAAGGTATATTCTTTCCTATTTGGGTGGAATGTTCTATAGATGTATGTTAAGTCCATTTGCTTCATTACCTCCAATAGTTCTCTTAATTCTCTATTAGGTTTCTGACTGATTGACCTGTCCATTGCTGAGAGAGGTGTGTTGAAGTCTCCTACTACTAGTGTGTGTGGTTTGATGTCTGCCTTGAGTTTTAGTAATATTTCTTTTACATAAGTGGGTCCTTTTATATTAGGGGTGTAGATATTCAGGATTGAGACGTCATCCTGATGAATTGCTCCTGTTATGAGTATAAAGTGTCCATCTCGATCTCTTCTGATTGATTTTAGTTTGAAGTCAGTTTTGTTAGAAATTAATATGGCCACACCTGCTTTTTTCTTAGGACCATTTGCTTGAAAGACCTCTTCCCAACCCTTTACTCTGAGTAGATGCCTGCCTTAGTGGTTGAGATGTGTTTCTTGCAAACAACAGAATGTTGGATCCTGTTTTGGTATCCAATCTCTTAGCCTGTGCCTTTTTATAGGTGAATTGAGACCATTAATATTAAGCGATATTAATGACCAGTGGTTGTTTACTCTGGTTATTCTTATTGTTTTTTTTTGTTATAGAGTTTGTGTTTCTCCCTTCTTTGAGTTGTGCTGGTGAAGGTTCACTAGATGCCTGAGTTATTGTAAGCAGTGTTGGCAATGTTGGATTCCTTGAGTTCCGGGTTTCCTTCTATTACTTTCTGTAGGGCTGGATTTGTGGCTACATATTGTTTAAATTTGTTCTTTTCCTGGAATGTCTTGTTTTCTCCATTGATAGTGAACAATAGCTTGGCTGCGTATAGTAGTATGGGTTTGCATCCATGGTCTCTGAGCTTCTGCAGTACTTCTATCCAGGACCTTCTGGCTTTCATGGTTTCCATAGAGAAGTCAGGTGTAAGTCTGATCGGTTTACCTTTATAAGTTACTTGGCCTTTTTCCTTTGCAGCTCTTAATATTCTTTCTTTAACCTGTATATTTTGTGTTTTGATTATTATATGGCGAGGGGATGTTTTTCTTTGATCCAGTCTGTTTGGTGTTCTGTATGCTTCTTGAATATTCAAAGGAATATCTTTCTTTATGTTGGGAAAGTTTTCTTCCATCATTTTGTTCAAAATATTTTCTGGGCCTTTGAGCTGTGACTCTTCTCCTTCTTCTATTCCTATTATTCTTAGGTTTGGTCTTTTTATTGTGTCCCATATTTCCTGAATGTTTCGTGATGAGAATTTGTTGGCTTTGCAGTTTTCTTTGATCAGTGAATTTATTTTCTCTATGGTGTCCTCAGAATCTGAGATTATTTCTTCTGTTTCTTGTATTCTATTGATTATGCTTGTTTCTGTAGGCTCTGCTCGTTGACCTAGATTTTCCATATCCAGCTGGTCCTCAGTTTGTGTTTTCTTCCTTGCTTCCATTTCAGTTTTCAGTTCTTGAACTGTTTCCATTACCTGTTTGATCGTTCTTTATTGGTTTCCCAGGGTATCATGTACGTATTTACTCATTTCTTAAAACTTTTGATTATACTTCTCATCCATTTCCATAAGGGCATTTTTCACATGTTGTTTAAGGGACTCTATTGCTTTCATAGAGTCAATTTTTTCCACTTCTTCTGTGTTAGGGTGTTAAAGTCCTTCTGTGGTAAGATCATTGGGTTCTCGTGTTTTCATGTTGTTTTTCAGATTATTGGGTGAATTCTTGCCTTGGCGCCTGCCCATCTCCTCCTATCAATGCTATCTAATGGATCTTATAAAACCGGATCAGATTTCCCTGCTAGCCAGGAGCTCCTCTTACAAAGTGCCCTCGCTCTTTTTCCTGGCTTCTGCCGGGGACCAAGATCTCTCTCACCCCTCAGAAGGGTGTTCAGGAATAGGACCCACCTCCTGCTTTGCCAGGGACCTCACCAACCAAAGGCCTACCTCTTTTATTTAATTGTAGTGGGTCGATCTGCTCATGGTGCTGCGCGCTGGTCCCTGCAGCCTGCGTCTGCTGCCATGACGGTCCCCATCGCCTGCAGCCTGCATCCTCTGCTGCTGCGCTGGTCGCCGCTGGTCTCCGCCAGCTGCAGAGGCCATCATCCGTCCACCTGCAACATCCAACTGCGCCGTCTGTCCAACTGCCCAAACATTAACTTTCTGTCCATGAGTCTAGAGAGAAATGGAGTCACTGTGGCCCCTGCAGATTTTACATCTGTACCTCAGGAATTAATAGCATCTCCTGGTAAAAAGAAATCAAAATCTTTCACTGTAGAGGAAAGATTGATAAAAATACAGGGAATTGACAAAAGGATGCAGAATAGAAGGATATTTCAATAATGGTTGGCCACTCGCATCTGCAAGTAAAATCAAGATCAAGAAATAAACAATTTAGACGATTTAGAAGTCCCAGAAACCAGATATAATTCTGTCCTCCTTCCTCAAGAATATCCAGGATGATTCTAGGCACTCTCAGGCAAGCTACTATGCCTGGAAAAAGTAGAGACAAACCAGTTTGTGTAGAATGGGCTCTGACCACCTGAACTACCTGAAGCGTACCCTCTCCAAAGCATTGTATTGTCTACAGTCTGTCAAGGGTGCTCCAGATTTCTTCCTATTGTGAGATGATGCTCATTGTGGGATGAACTGGTGACATAGCTATCTTTGAGTGATATCTGCTTCTGTAAGTAATACTTTACCAATATTCCTATAAGAAACACAATAAAAATTTGGATCTGATCTTCAGTCTGGGGTGAGTAGGTACTTGTTTACACCTCCTGAGGAAAATTTTCATACAAAATAGTCAAAGAATGGTTGCAGTCTACTTTGTGTAGGTGGATTTTTTTTTTTACTGTTACCCTTATCTTTGTTGCAATGCATTTGTGGATTACACAAATTGAAACTTTCGGTCTGTATAACATACAATTCCCTGTCTCTTTCTTTTATGGAAAGTCATCATTTTCTTCTCTCTGTTCTTTGGTGTGCCAGGAAACTACTGCTAAAGTGTTATATAAGGAAGATAAATGAAATACAGATCCGCAAGTTTGGGAATTCAAGAAATAATTTCCAGCATTTGGTGTGGTTTCTTCTTGTACCTCTGTTGCAGTATATGGTGATGGTCAGAATTCAAGCCAAATGTTTCTAAAATCTTACCTTTTAATACAAAAACTTAGTTAAAGGCTCATCCAGATTATAAAGAAGCCTTGAATCTTTTCTCAAAGCACAGTGACAGTAAAGAGCAGACAGGAATATGTGTGAAGAGCAAAAGGGGTCACATGAAAAAAGGTGTTCAAGGGCCACAGCTTTTGTTTGGAGCCACTTCCATGGAGTTCAGGAGAAGGTGTTGGGGTGCTGTGGGGGTGTGACATGGGTGGATCTTCATTTCAACTGACAGGCTTAGATTAGGTAGGCATCTACTTCCTGTGCATGTCCTTTCAACACAGTATTTCATTTGATTATATACACACAATTATACATAGGAGGAAGGTGGTAAGCATGATATTCATCATAAAAGTTCCTTCTGAGGACACAGTTTCTCTTGTTGTACATGTACCTGAACTAGTCTAGTCTGGATTACATCGTTCTCTTTTTGGTATCAAAAAGATTTTGTGAAATACTTGAATATAAGTAATATATTTAACTATTTCTAAGGACAGTAATCATTTTCATTATTTCCAACATTTATATATTTATTTGTGACCTGATGTATGGTGGTTGTCCATGGGGTAAATAGGTTTTAGAAATATTGACAGCAGAATGTGTGTATACAGGGGATGCAGATAATGGTCTCAGGCTGGAAAGTGCAACTGTGGTTATCAAACAAGAAAAGTGAGGTCTCAAGTGGCTAAGCTGTTTGCCATGCTAGCCTGTCTCATCCTCATGTGCTGGCAGAATAAACCGAAAATAAAGGAAAAAATAAAAGAAAGATGAAAATAACAAAACTAACAATAGAATTTCCTTCCACATATGATTTTCAAGTTGCATTGATCTATTGATGGGGAGTGACCATGAACTAACCCCCCCGTCCCCATTAAACCCAAATTTCCATGATATTAGATTGGGAAATAAGACATGGATTTCCAAATTCACGTGGGCATCAGATGTAGAAGTAAGTCACAAAACAATCATACACCAGTTTGGAATTCTGATTAATAAAAGGGTTATTTATTTAAGGTGAAAACTTAGAGATCACTCTCCTAGACAACAGCCCTCTGCACGATCAGGAACTGAGTCTAGGAGTCAGAGGCAAGAGAGGAAGAGCAGGGCTACTGCTGCTTTTTAAAACAAAAAAGACCACTCCCAAGTGGGCTGGTATCTTAAAAGAGTGGAAGGAGCTCCTGCAGCAGTCAGTCCATTTTTACAGCAGTAAGAGAAGTAAACAATACTCCAGAAAGGCCTCTTTGGGACTCCTGACTAATTTCTTAATTCCTTTATCACAGAGCGTCATCATTTTTATCTCAAGGTTTCCAGTGACATTATTTCATTCTAGAATTTGAGTTGAGATTCCGTCCTGTTGCAAATAATCCCCACACATAAAACATCTCACTTTTGTGGATTCTTTGCTCAAATAATTAAACTCTATGAAACACTCAAATTCATTGAACAAAAAGGACCTGAAGACTTCTCCTGTCCTCAGCAGACTAGCTTTGGAAATGGCACTCAAGGCTGAATTCAATCTTCTGTGTCTATTAATGCCTTGGTTTTTCTGGAGCATATGTGGTCTACTTGTTCTTTAACATGCTTTGTCCTTAACTTCACACGTGAAGCATGTATTCTATACTTTTGATTTGACAGCAATTCTCAAATGGCTGAGAGATATTCCCAAGAAAGCACTGCTTTATTGAAAATGTGGTTTATATTTAAGTTTTATTTGTAAAACTTATAGATTAACAAGTATAAAAGTTATTGATAAAAATATGGAACTTAGATCATCAAAAGTTTATAAAGAATATAAGAAAGTACCATTTCCTAGAATTTAGAACAGGTCTGATGGTGGTGGCACAGACCTTTAATCCCAGCACTCAGAAGGCTGAGGCAGGTAGATCTTGAGTTCAAGGCCAGCCTGGTCTACAAAGTGATTTTCAGGACAACAATGACTAAACAGAGAAATCCTATCTTGGAAAACCACAAAAAAGAGCTGGCTTTCATAGATATAGTATTGCAACAGTTCATATATACATTTATTTTCTGGACTTGGTTCTTATCTCCATAAACAGTATCCTTGGCATCCGGGTTTTCAGATCTGAATCAGGCTTGAGGGACTTTCTTTCTGACATTGACAACCTTAAAGAAGAAGATGATGATGTCAGATCAAGTGAAATTCAATGACACCAAACACTCTACATTGATACTGATGCGACCCTATAGGTCACGTCCCATTTTTCTTTTTCTTTTTTTTTTATTTTTTTTTTATTTTTCGAGACAGGGTTTCTCCGTAGCTTTTGGTTCCTGTCCTGGAACTAGCTCTTGTAGACCAGGCTGGCCTCGAACTCCCAGAAATCTGCCTGCCTCTGCCTCCCGAGTGCTGGGATTCTAGGTGTGTGCCACCGCTGCCCATTTTTCACTGGACTATCTTTTTAATGCCTCTCCGGCTTTGGAGTCAGCTTTCTTCCCTACTTGGGACTATGAAAGTAGTCACACCTACAGACTTGAGCACAGTTGGAAGGGCTGTGTATGACACAGAGCTCCAGAGGGGAGGAAAGAGCTGCCATCCTTGATGGGGCGACTGAGTTTAGAGACTCATTGAACAGGCAGGCTGGGAGGAGGGAGAAAGGACTTTGCTGTTGCAGCTGCCATGGGGGAAGTTTTAAACCTTTGGCTGGTGGTCTGAGAACCAAGGTGCTGTAAGAGCGTTTCTTTGTGAACGAACATGTGATCCCTTCTATTTCTTCTGTTCACATGGTTTAGTGACCTTTTTAAAAGTGTAAAATAAATCCCACACAATGTGTAAGTATAACAAGGATTGCGGATTTTAGCACATTGTGGTCTGATTTGCCCAGGGCATCCTTTGGAACTTATGATTTATGTACGTCATGCTCTGCAACAGACAGTATTTGAATATTATACATGAAGGCTCCAAGATTCTTTGTGCTTTAGTCTTTGCTCATTTTGAAAAATTGAAAAGTCATAATTTAAAACAAACATCTTAATTACCTGAGTCCTGTCAAATTATCTCTCTGCTTTGATAAAGGAGATACTTTTTGTCATTAGCTAAACATATAACAACTTTTGAGATTTTTGAATTTTTTCTTTAGTATAATTTAAAAATATTTACTTAAAAGTTAGTGGAAGGAACTTTATTATTAAACGTGAAAAGTTTAATTTTTATTTCTATTGGATTGTATATGTAATACCAACAGAAAAGTACACGATATATATGTATTTATGAAATCACATATATGAATGATTCTTAAGAATATTAAATTTCAGAGCACACACCTGCATGTTACTGTGTCTTACAGACTTCAGCTGCCATGTATCTTTGCTTGAGGACAATTCAAAACAGACGAGTCGAAGTTTTTGGCCTGGCTCACACTTTATATTGGTCAGTCTTCCATGGACCACCACTTCCATTTTCCCTGTATCATCTTCAATTACATAGTAAATGCAGGAATTCCTCTCAGTTTTCTGAAAAGCAAGTTAACATTCATCTTTTAGGAAATGTGTCAAAGCTTGTCACCTCTATGAGGAATAAAGAGTGTCGGCATAAACCTGTCCCTGCCAAGGCAAGATGGCTCTTGGGTTTAGAATCACAGGCACAAGGGCCAGTGAGATGGTTCAGTGGGGAAGGGTGCTTGCTGACAAGCCTGATTACCTGGGCTCAATGAGCAGGACTCATGGTAGAAAGAGAGAACTCATTTGTGGAGCTTCTCTCCTGAATTCCACACTACTTTAAAAGTTTTTGTGTTTCTTCCCATCCCTCACAGACAAAATAAATAACTAAAAGATGGTTTTCAGGCACAAGAGAGTTTAAGATGTTTTAGTGAACAAATCTTTTGTTTGAAATCTTGAAGCCTTGTGGGCCTAGCCTTAATGATTGGGTCACCACTGCAGCCCTTGGAAGCCACTCTTATGTTTATCTACTTGATTTTTTTTCTGCGTGGTGTTTTTAGGAAAAAATGAGTATATTTCTAAGTACTATGGTTACATATAAGAGTATCTGAGATTTCTTAAGGGACAATAAATGAAAACAAGAATTATACAGCAATAACCGTTTAGTTACCATTGCAGGTTTCTTAGGTATCTCCAGGAGGCTTGAGAAAAAAGGCTACTTGTGACTCATTGTCAGTCTGAGAAACACTACTACAAGTCTTTTTTATTTAATGTATTTTAATTTTTATGGAGAATAAATTTATTTACATGAAACATAATCTGATCATAATTTTTCCTTTCCTACTCCTCCTGGATTATCCTCACTTCCCTACCTTTCCAACTCCACAGCTTCTTTCTCTCTCTCTTAAGGAAACAAACATGTGAATAAAGAAGAAAATCAACAAGAATGAAACAAAAAGACACACACAAGACATAAGAAATAGTATGAGAAACAAATACACAGACATACCAATAGGGACTAACATTCAGAGAGAGAGAAAGACTGATATACTCAGTTAAAACACACAAACACACACACAAACACACACACACACAAACACACACACACACACAAACACACACACATATCTCCTTTGTAAATTGATCACATTTGCTCAGTGCACACATTGTTCACTCTACCCCTTCCTAACCCCTCATAGGTTGAATCTACAGCTTTTAGTTCTGGCATTTAAGTTTGGTTCCCACTTAGTTTACTTTTTAATTGTGTAACTGAATGCACCAGCACAGTCAATAACAGTATAGATAAATTAAAAAGCCATGGCAGATTCATAAACAATGAATTATGAAATCATACTCTTAACAAGAATACTAATGAATTGGTGCATCGCCACTCAAAGAAACACCAGAAAGTCTTAGATTTCCTAGAGTTTCCTCACTTCCATTGTGCCCAGTTATTAACTGTGAAATTAAACTAGACTGTTAAACTCCTCTTCCTTTCACTATTTAAAACATTAGTCACCCTATCAAAAAAGCTTGATACAATGTAAAGAATATTATAATGAGGACACATTAAAGAAATAATCTTGGCTAGTTGGTCATGGCTTCAATCTGGAGCAGAGTAGTCTCTTGTTTTTTATTCTCATCATCTCAAACTGTATGTAGGCTTTGAGTTTGGCTGTTCTGGCAACTGAGTTGCCAATAATATGGGTATGGAACCTATCAAAGAAATAGAATCTAAAAGGAAAGTTTGCTATAAACTGAACGTTGTCTAGGAATAAGATGGACATAATTGATTGTCATAGCCAGGAAAATGCCAAAGTTATTGATGAATCGATTTCTAAAGATTTTTCTTGGTTTTACCTTGTGGAGTAGAATAAGAGACTCCCAATCCCCAAAAGAGGAAACCATACTCATCTCTTTCTGACATAAAGAGCAATTACTTCCTGTGTTAAATAAGTTGAGCAAATTCCAGTGACAAGTTAAAACTTAAAATGCCAGACTGCAAAAGGAATTTCCCAAGTATCACAATGGCTTACCTTATATACCATAAACTTTCCACTGACATATGTCCCCTGTGCCTGTGAGAAAAGATCCCTAATTTTAGGAGTCGCATTGGCTCTTTGCCTCAGTGTTTTTGAGATATCCATGGTTCTGTTCTTGTCTACATCAGACACACAGGAACTTTCGTGTATTTCCAGAAATCCATTTGAGCCAAAATAATTTGATATGGCAATAATCTTATTTGGAATGAACTTGTTCTTTAAAACTGGGTCAAAAATCTTCACTCTGTAGAATTCATTCTCAGTCGCCACTGTGGCATGGAACATCCTTTTGTCAAGAATCAAATCATAAGTAAATGGTTTTGTTACTTTCAAAACCATCACTTCCTTGGGTTCTCGATGATAACCTTCTTCCTTAGCAGGTTCCTTTGGTATGTTTCCCCTCCTTGGTGTCTACATAAAACACACAGAGGATAAACATGCATAATTCAGACAGATCATAAGGCACAATTCCACTGAGTACAGTGGAGAACGTCTAAACAATGATTGCCATACTATAATCTAGATAAAGTGAAAAATGGATATTTACCTGAATTATTATCTAGTTATTCTAGTTAATATAAACGTTACTTGGTAGGTAAAGAGTTTATACTTATATTTGTGGGGACTGAACCCAAAGGCTCCAAGCTCTAGTTAACTTATTATTCTAGGAACATTTGGAAATGTTTGATTACAAAACCTGGACTAAATATTAGAGCTTTCTTGTAATAGAGATAGGCAGGCAGTCTAGGAAGATACCCTGAAATATTTCTACTCAGAAAGGGTTCAGGCTAGTAGCTCTTATTTTTCTTATATAACAGTTTGGGGGAAAATCCTGGAACCAGAAAATGTTCATGAGGTCATTTTACTTTGACCACCTGTCTTCTCAGTATCCTACTGCATTTTTGAGCATCAGAGGAGCACTTTGAAATGGAGGTGACAGAGTTGAACTGGAAGAGGAAGCACGAGGACAGTCACGGCCGACCTGGGTACCAGTGCAGGGAGGCAGCTATAACTGAAGTACTCTCTGACCCTTGACTTGGAAACATGCAGATTTCACTCTGTGGGTGATGGAGTTTAACTGTGATTACCAACTGATGTATTCTAACATCAGGAAGTACATTTCCAATATAATTGCTGCAGCGATTCACAATCTGAAAACAACACCTTGAATAAAAAGTATAATGTGCAAAATTAAATACGCACGTGACTCAGCATACTCTTTACAGAGTAGGCGTGATCAGGTGATCGCTGAGTCAGACATTTTCTTAATGGAGTACAACATACAAAGTTTTCTAAAATTGAATGTAGGGAAGGATCAGTTACTATACACAATAAAATAGTGATTATTTAAGTAAAAGATTATGTGTCCATATAGATTAATGAAAAATTCTTGCAAGAGTGTGCTAATCTTTGTCATTATACTGTGAGAGTAGGAAGCCATTACCTCACATGAACTGCTGCTGGTAGTTGCTGGAGACACCATTGGAGCCAGGAGACTTTTGGATGTTGTTTGTGGAGCTAGGAGACTTTCAGATGTTGTTGCTGAAAGCATCTGGGGAGCCAGAGCACACCTAGGTGCTTCTACTTTAGGACAGGGAAGAGCCTGACCAGTCCCAGAGGCTACTCCTCGATGATCTTGAGTGGGGCACACACTTCTGGGCATTGTTTGTGGAGGAGCATGAGGAGCCTGGTTGAAGCTGGATGTTGCTGCTGGATGCATTTGAGTGGTGTGGACTCTACTTGTCGCTATTGGTCTAGGCACCCAAGGATCCGGAAGACTGTTGGATGTTCTTAGTGGAAATATCTGGAGAAAACGAGATGCTCTTGCTGGAGATGGCAAAGAAGTCAGGAAATAAGGAGGTACTGTTGCTAAGGGACTTGGGACCTGAACGATCCTGGGTACATTTACCCTAGCAGGGTTAAGAGTCTGAATGCTATTTCCTGTTGTTCTTTGAGGCACCTGAGTGGTGCTGACATTTCCGGGCACTGCTCCTGGAAGAGTGTGGGGCACCTGAAAACTGCTGGATCCTGTTGCTGGAGGCGTCATTATGACTTGGGCTTTGCTTTTTAATGTTGCAGGTACTCTAGGGCTTTGGGCACTTCCAGATCCTGTTTGAGGATTGTGAAGAGTCTGTATGCTACTGAATGCTGCTGTTGTAGGTAGGTAAAGGTTCTGGGCTCGGATGGACCCTGATACTGGAGACATCTGAGGAGCACTGAGAGAATTGGACACCGTTTCTGAAGACACACTAGGGACCCAGACATTACTGGATGCTGTTGATGAAGGGACGAAAGGAGTTTGGACAAGATTGGATAGTGTTAGATTCATGGGAGAGTTCAGATGGATGCTAGAGTCTGATACTGGAGATATTAGAAAACTTTGTGAGGGTGGTTCTGGGGAGCCTTGAGCCGTTTTTAAAGAGTCACATGTTTCTGGAGATGTCTGTGTAGTGTTGAGGCTGCTAGAATCTGTTGCCGCGAGCCCCTGAAGAGTCTGGCCTTCCCTTGCAGCTGAGGCATTGCTGGTTGCTGACAATGTCAGAAGCTGGTGTTTTTTCTGGGAATCGTCTGTCTTTAGAGTACTCTGTTTTTTAATGTTTGTGGTTTTCTGTTTCTAAAGAAAAATAGGATTGAGATACTTTTAATACTGTTTACTGGTTTTTTGCAAATGAGACCAAGTGCTTTTATTCACTTTCCCTTCTGTAACGAGAACTTTTACCCTGCCAGCTTGCTCCTGGGCTGACGGAATTGTTTAGAACATACTTCTAACACCTAGCCTTCACTCTTACTATTAGATATTACAGCTTCTCTTAAAAGTCCGGTATTGAATTTTCTCTGGTCTGGGATGGAATACTAGCTCAAAGTATCTTACAAAACTGGCCAAATATTTCTTGGTTTGGTTCATTTCTCAGAATCATTTCATGGGAAACTAAGCATGTAGTAAAATTGGTTGTTTCTGTATTTTTCTTCATGTAGACTTTCCAATCCATCAAATATTTGATCCTTATTGTGCACACAGGGAGCCAACCCCCACATACCTTGAGATGATGTGATGGATATTGTGTGACAAGTATGCTAAAAATTGATCCACTTAGATGGATTTATTGAATGATGATGAAGCTCAGTTGACAGAGTAACTAAGATGCCTGAAGACCATCTGGACTCATTGAAACCTCTGTGTAGGTCTTTAAAATGAGCATGACTCCAGTTAAATACAACTTCTACATATGTGAGAACTACTTGTAGTTCAGGCAACAGATCTGGTTAGAGCATTCACTACACTTTCATAATCTTAGCGGTATAAAACTGCAGCATGATTAATAAAAACCCAGAGACAGAAACTGGGGTTCAACATGAAGGCCAGAAAAACAAAATGGCCAGTCACCGACTCTTACCACTACCTAAGCAGAAATGGTGATCCTGCCTCCGGGAATCTCAGAATGAGACTGTCAGAGAGCTGTCTCCTCGTGTTTTATAGTCTTCTCCAGTGCTGGTATTAAAAAAGGCATGCACCACTACTGCCCACACTAGTGTGGCTACTGGGATTAAAAATATGTGTCATCACTGCCTGGTCTTTAACACTAATCAGTGTGGCTGTTTTACTCTCTGAAGTTCAGGCAACTTTATTTATTAAAATACAATGAAATATCAGTACAAAAAATTTAAAGACTATAAATTTTTCTTCAAAAGCGAAGGGAAGTTCGTATGCAAATACTTTTGTATAACTGTACAGGTCACTTTTTACTTGTTTCTCTTTGTAGTTTTGATCATCCAAGATAAAAGTCTTCTAAAATTCAACAATTGCTGTGAAGCTGATGCCATTCTAGCCAAAATGTTTACTAGCTGTAGCCTATTTTCTAGACTTGTGTACATATCAATTGTATTTCTGTCATCATCTACAAACACAGTAAATTAGATGTGCCTAAGAAGTTCCCATGCTAAGTACCAGGACTCTATCATTTAAAAAAATCAAATGTTGGTCTTCTCAGAGGTTCAGTACAATTGTACCATGCAAGAAAATAAGGACATTTCTGTAAATTGCAGTCATGACCTCAAAATACATGCATGATGAATAATAGGTGACATATACAATAAAGTATATGATTAAGAGGTTTCTTCTTCCAAGGCTATGGTTGTTGCAATTATATTAAGAAGGCATCTTACTGGGAACAAGATTCCATTCCCTTTGATGAGGAATATCTGGGAGACTTTAGTGTATGCCTGGAGGGGTCTGAATCTGACTAGTAGCAAAAATGACCGCTTCAGTTCTACTGGTTAGTGATGGACAGGGATAAAGACTTCAAGGCAGGGAAACAACATGCATCAACAAAAATGCTAAGAGGAACACAGAATGACAAGAATAACCCCTGAAATTGGATCACCAGCAAAGGGAAAAGGGCTGAGAAGAAAGTAGGCACTGGGGATTGAAATATTCCAGTGTTCATCTCTATCTGTCTCCTCTATACTGCCATCTGAATCCTAAGCAGAAAGTTGGTTGACAGCCATAGAAATCATTTCATAAGTACTTACCTTTTCAATACCACAGAGGCTCTGATACATAATTAGATAATGAGCTATTTACTAACATGAGGGAAATCTTTGTAGTAAGGTGAGACATTTTTCCAAGGCTGTGGTGAGTCCAGTGATAAGCTTCGGGAAGGAGCAAGCACTGGGAAGAGGAAAGTGGTACCTTGTTGGAGGAATTGCTGGATGGTGTTGCAGGCTTCTCAGGAGTCTGGAGACAATCTTCATCTTTCTGTTTGTTGCTTCCTGAAGGTTTTAGAGGCTGAGTCTGCTCTTGGTTAAGCTTCCTTTTTTTGCCACTTTCAGTTCCCGCAGTTTGTTCTTCCTTTTTCAGAAAGAAAAATGTTTTTTCTTCATTGATTTTCCCATGCACTGAAAATTGAACGCCAAGCTTTGTACATGCTAAATTGTGCTTTTCTATACAGTTTTATCCCCAGTCTGTAGTAATGGCTTTAGTATAAGCTAACACATAATATTCTTAGAACCACAAAAATCTTTTGCTTGTCATGGAGTTCTAAATATATTTTGTCATTGTGCATACCTTATTCTTAAAAGATGGACTGTATGTATATTGTGGTGGACTGTGTAAGAATGGCCCCATAGACTCACAGATTTGAATGCTTCATCACCAGGGAGTGTCAGTACTAGGAAGTATGGCCTTGTTGTGGTAGGTGTACTTTGTTGGAGAAAGTGTGTCACTGAGCTTTCAGATGATAAAGCCAGGCCCAATGTCACTCTCTGTTGCTGCTACCTATGAAGATGTAGAACTCTCAGCTAACTCTCCTGCACAATATCTACCTGCATACTGCCATGCTTCCCACTATGATATTAATGGACTAACGTTCTGAATGTAAGCAAGCCCCAAATAAATGTGTTTTTTAAAAAAATAAGAATTTCTATAGTCATGACATCTCTTCAGAGTAATGGGAACCCTAGCTAAGACATATAATGGTGTCTCATAGAGGAGTAGAAAAATTTCATTAACCTCACCCCATTTATCCTTGTGGTATCAGAAGAGGATTGGGTGCAGAAATACAAAGCCCATATTTAGGATGAATCTTTTCAAGAGCTACATCCCAAAGCAAATGCTATTTCAGCAAATGGTCTTTAAAAAGCCAGATAGTGATTTTTTGTTTGCATACTTGGGTATGTGTTGGGGGTCACACTGCACAAGTTAGATCATGTGGTAAATACGACATACAGTGAGTAAGAAGTCGTGATAAATTTGTCGACTTCAAATCTCGTTCTCACAGAGCCTTGGACAAGATAGGTACAGTCCTACATATTCCCAAAGATTTCAAAAGGGGTGGCTCCTGAGTGGAAACATTTTTGGGCAATCAGCCACCTTACCTCTGAAGAGGGTGCATTACTGGAGCAAAGACCATGGGCACTGCTGGGCTCCCCTTGCTTTCCTTCCACTGCAGTTTTGTTCTTTCCTTTCATTTGTTTTACAACTATACGAATAAAGAAATCACAGTAAATCCATGGAAATGGGTGAAAATGGCTGAAGCTCATTAAGAATTATTTATTTTCCTTTCAGTTTTCAAAACTGAAATGGATAGTTTATTCTACTTTTATTAATGGTTTTACAGAAAGACAACGAATTCATGTTGTTTTTAACAAAACCTCAACCATTCAGTTATACCAATAAAGAGTCAGGAGCCAGATGTTGGGGAGAAAGCCTGCTAGCTCCTAGAAACAGAGAAAGGACCAGCTGGCCTTCCTAGTCCACTGGCATCCCATGGTCCCCCTTTTCCTGTATCAACTCAAACTAAAACCTCTCAACCTCAATTTCCCTCACTTCTAAAGCCCGTGCTTCTCTCTAACCATCATGATAACTCTCTCTTACTCTTGAATTGTTTTTTTTCTTAAAAAATCTATGTATGCTTCCTGTCAACTGGTTGCTTGTTCTGACTCTTGACCTCTGGTTGACTTTATTTAATTCTGTTTACAATATTCAAGTAGAAAGCCTTTGGATTAAAAGTGTTGCTAGGGCTGAGCCCACAACAAACTTGGAAATAGTTTTGTTTTGTTTAAAGAAAAAAAAACAGTAAATAACACAATTTCCAGGTAGAAAGTGTGATCAAATATCATTTCATAATAACAAGAACTATTTCATCTCTATTTGTGTCTATACTTTTTCTTTCTTCTGCTGCAGAGACTCTACCTCGACAGAAGGCCACCAGTGGTACCAAGTCAGATATATTCACACTTCACTGGATTTTTCTGCATCCCAGGTGTAGTGAAATCAGCTCTTCCATCTTGGGAACTTCTGTTGATATCACTATAACCGTCTGCCAACCCTCTTATCCCACAGATTGATTTTAAAAGCATGAAACTTTTATGATAATACCAATAGGTTATGTTCTAAAGAATATAATTACAAATCATAGAAAAAGAGAAAGAATTATGATTTAATATTTGATATAACAAAGTAGTAATATTGGATTTTGACTTCCATGTTGGGGATATATCTTTCGATGTAACTCAGAGTACATTTTCTATGTAAGTCAATCTGCAGGTCTTTTGACTCAGATTCCTTATGCTAAATTCTTGGGTCAGAGTTATGTATCATTATTTCCAATATTTTTTTAAACCTATAGACTTTATAAAGAAAAACTATTTAACACCTTTAAAATGTGGGCATATACTTAATTATGAAATCACATTTCTTACAGAATAGGAATAAATTAGAGGGTATGCATTGTTTATCAAGTATTAAATTTTCTCTATTTAAATGCTTTAAATGAGTTTTTTTTCAATTTATCTGTCATTTTCTTTTTTTTTCTATCATGTTGGGTACACTAATTTATCTCAACAACTGCTTTTTGGTTCAGTTTCCTCCAAAGCAAAAGATGTCTACCCAGAAATATATCAAAATTCTTGGTATGAAAGCATTTTTCAAAATCATTAACTTGCTGACTTCAGAACAGATTCTACCCCTGTATTTTCTAAGGCACACAATGGGAAAGGGACATATCAACTCTGATCACTGCAGGGAGCTAGACATTTGGGAAGGTTGGCGGAAGGATGAGTGTCCAGGGAGCTTCCCCTTGTTACCTTTTGCTTTCTCTGCTTTGAGAGCTTCAACAAGGTATTGAAGATCTCTATTTTCTTGACAAAATCCTATCAGTTTGCCGAGTCCAGCATCTTTTGGGAATGTATCCTCCATCAGGTCAGCAATCTGAATTCTGTCATAATCATTCTGAATGCTTTCAGACAGGTGTAGATCACATCTTAGTAAGTACTTAAATATTTTAAAGTGGTAGTATCCCATACAGTCTAATCCGTTTTGAAGAACAATTTTTTTGTATTCACTCATTATTCCTAATATTATGGACACTACAAAAACATAAAAATGGACAAAGAATTACATACATATCCAGACAATTTCAAAACAGTATTATTCCTGTGTGAGCGAATGACCAAAATTGATAATGTCCATAATTTCTTGTGCGAGAAAAACAGAGTTAAATACAAGCTGTACCACTGTGCAAAAATGGAGATAGAACTTCTGTATTAAGAAACAACTTTAGAAAATCCTTCTCCAGTAGCCATGTTAGGTGACTTAGGCCAATGACAGTTGTGGGGGAATAAAAGGGTTGGACACAATAATTGCTGCAGTGTTTAGAGTTTGCGCTATGAGTGTTAAAATCCTGTTTTCTGTTTCCATTCTTCTTTGGTGTCCACACAAGGACACATGAGAGGAAAAAATGATGAGTATGAAGAAAAGACATACTCTGTAAGCACTAATGTAGTGGATTAATAAAAATTGCTGCAGGGTATTAAAAATCGATCATCTACATATTCAAGGAGAAGATGAAAACTGATCTCAACAGTAAAGCTTCCTTCATCAGCATTCTAATTTTTACACAGTACTGATCTCCAGACCCCAGAGAAAATTACATTAGAAAGGCTTTTTGGGGGGTTGGTACTTGTGAAAACACAACTGTTTCCAACACAACCAGATAAATGATGGCAAAGATTATGTGTAATTTTTATGGATCCCACTTACATGACAACATTCATTCTGATATTGAAGTGTTATTGCTTTTGAATTTGGACTAATCCAAACATCAAAAGAATTTCAATATTACACAATACCATATATCTGTGTCACTGTGAATCTATGCTCACTAGATCCTGTATCAATGTGTTCAGCCTCACTGCTAAAAGGCTAAATACTTGAAATGTTCAGTCTCTGTCAAACACCTAAAATCTCTTCCAAATATCAAAGCCTCTCTAAAATACCCAATGTCTCAATGAAATATCAAAGGATCTCAAATGTACGCTCTTACAAAAAAAAATAAATAAATAATTAGTTACCTACCTTGTCATTCCAAGAGGGGAAAACCATGTCATAATTACATTAAAATCAAAAAAAATTAAAATTCTACAGTATAAAAAGATGTTCTGATCTCCAAATGGCCTTGGCAGCTCCATTTCTTTTGCTCTTTCATCCAAACACACACAGTGATTCTCCTACACTTAGGTCATATCTCTCCACACCTGTTGCTATTCCTGTTGGTCATCGAACAGTACTGTCAGCTCAAAATACTGGGGTCCCCATTGTACCTGGGTTATATCTTCATAAAGGGCTCTTCATGGCCTTTCACAGAAGCAAGCCTCAGCTATTCCCTATGACTCCAGCAAGCCTCCAAAACCAGTACCACCTGGGTGAGTTTTTCACACTACAAAGTTTGTCAGCAAAAGGGACAACCTTTTCCTGCTCCAGACCACAACTTCAGTTCTGTGTACTGAGAGTGAGAAGACACTTCCCACATTATTCCTCAATAATGCTGATCTCTTTTTAATCACAGCCAATTCTTCAGTATCAGCTGACAAGAATCACAGATTCGTAATTCAAAAATATTGAGTCGCCTTAGTAGTTTCTTTGTAGGACACTTATCCTTCCTTCTGATGTTCCCAAGCCAGGCCTCCAGCATCTGCACTGCCCTCTGCATTACCTTATAAGTTCCCACTGTTGTCCATTAATTTCTAAACACTCAATAGTTTTATATCCCAGAGTTACTAAGTTCATTCATAATCCTTCCTAAAACACAGTCAGGTGTGTCACAATAGTATTCCACATGACCAGTACCAGTTTCTCTCTTAGTTACTTGTTCTATTGCTTCGATAAAACACCATGATCAAAGTCAACTTGGGTTAAAAAAGGGTTTATGTTATTTTATATTTATACATCACAGTCATTTATTGAAAGAAGTCAGAGCATTAATTCAAGGCTAGAACCCAGAAGTAAGAACCAAAGCAGAAGCCCTGAGGAACACTGATTCCTTGCTTGATCCTCATGGTTTACTGAGCACTCAGGACAGCCTGCAGAGAAGGGGCAATGCTTCCAAAGGGTTAAACACTCACATCAATCACTAATCAAGAATATGACTTCCATACCTTCTTACAAACAATTTTAAAGGAAGAACTTTCTGAACTCAGGTATCTTTTTCCAGATAATTTTGTCTTGTGTCAGGTTGACAGAAATCAACCGAAACATGCCCTTAGAAAGAGATAATACCTTAAATTTTTGATTTATATACCAACAATAATGTCCAGTATTTCTAAGCACTTTATGTCTCTTGATAGGACCACAATAAGTAGCCACACTGAATATCTTTTATCCAAATGACAAGATGCACACATATCCTCTTCGTGTGCATGTGAAAGAGCCTACTAATCTGTGAGTTTGAAAAAACAAAATTACTTTGATAGATACAGCAATATATTTCTCAATTGCTAATTAATAAGGTATAAACATTTGAAAAATTATTTAGAATTCTTGAGAAATATAAGTGACTCACCAAGAGAGATAACTTTACATATACACATGTCTGAAATCAATTTCTAAAATGCCCTGTTCAGGTACATGTTAAGTACTCCAAAGGGTAAATGGAAAGCATTTAAAAGATCTAAAAATAGGCAATAGAGATGTATTTCTAGATAAATTTCTCTCAATCATCTTTATTTTCTACCAGACAATTAAACAGCAAATTCAAATTATTTAAAACTGAAGATAACAAATAATGTTCAAGATGACAGAAACTAACGCACTGATTGAGACACTGCTGATGTAAAAAATAACAAGTATTTTGGTGGATTATTAAAAACAGGGTTGAGGGGGACCGGAGAGGCAGGGAGGGTAGTAGAGAAAAATGTAGAGCTCAATAAAAATCAGAGTACTTGAATAACAATGAATCTGTAGAACTTAATAATATACACCTTTGTAGTCTTCCATGTCATGCATTAACAGAATACTAGAGTGCAGCTCCATTTCCTGATATATTTTCATTAAGCATTATTTCATAGCAATTCTTTGGTGTCGCTAGCTTATTGTTTCTCTAGTCAGTCACCACAGCCATCAAGTTACTCTTACTCTCCAGCAAGATATCTAAAGTCTTTCTCTTATTTTCCATTTTCTCATACTTATACTTAGAAAGTTATTTTATTATCTGCCCTAATCAAAATGCCTTTGTGCTGGCTCAGGCCCCAGTATGGGTGGAATAAAAAAGATGCTTACCATCTTTCCTAGTGAAGCATCAGATCCTAGCTGCTGTGGGTTCATGGCCTTGAAGGCAGCTCTCAACAGCCCTGCTCCCTCCATTCTCCTCTGAAGAAAGCAGCACTGATTTCCACCCTGCCCTTGTGGGTTCTATAGAGCTTTACATAACAAGTGCAGGACTCACCTTCTCAGAAATTTCTTCAGCAGTGTCCAGATCCTAGCTTGTCTCCCAGGCAAGATGAAGGCTAGTTTTACTTGATTAAGAAGACAAAACTCTCAGAGATTGGGTTGGGATGTTGCATTCCCCAAGTGCCAAGAACATGAAGTATTTTTAAAGATGCGAAGTATGACAATGGTCTGAGTCATTTCACTTCACTTCAAGAATAGCAAATTGAATGTCTTGAGCTCTGCTATTCCCGGAAGAGGAGGATTACAGAAGTGAGGCCACCCAATGTTCTTAGGTTTCGATTTCCCTGTCTAGTAAGACTAGATTGTCTTCTAAAGGATACACTTTACTTACCAAAACAAGCAAAGGTCTCCTGTGCTCAGTTGATTTTCTTCATAAATGGATGTTCTAAACTTAGCATTTCATGTCCAACAGCCTTACCCATGGGTCACTAAGAAACACATTCTTCTGAATAAATTTAACATCTGAAAAGGAAAGGGTGAGTCACTCAGACACTTCTCCCTCTTCTCCATCAGGCAGGAAGTGGCAAGAGGTGAATTCAGCAGATGTCTACTGCCACCAAGAACTGAATGTGTTTCCTGTACAGAAGAAGGTAGGCAGTGTAGTGTAGGGTGAATTCTAAATGATCTTAATAATAATAAAAAAGCCGTATCACACATAGGCGTAATTGCTGAAAGAGTAGAGACAAAGGAGCTAGCCACAGCCACTGCTTAACTCTCCAACTCTTCAGCCTGAAATGGGTTAGCTCCTGTCTCCACTAGCTTTCCATTCCTCTTTCTGTCCAGCCACATCACTTCCTATTTCCTCCTCCCTAGAGCTGAGATTAAAGGTGTGTGCCACTACTGCCTGACCTCTATGATTAGCTAGTGGCTAGCTCCACACTCTGATCTCCAGGCAAGTTGTACTTGTTAAAGCACAATATAATATCACTACATTTCCTGGGTTTTTTGTCTAAAGTAAAAAGAATGATGTAAGTAATATAAGAAAAAATATATATATTGTAAGTATAATAACTTTATACAATATATCCAGTCAATAATACATCACTAATGTGTAGTCAATGAACAACTGACACATTCAGAGAAAATACTCGACATCTCTATTTTGGTGAGGACAAATGTTGTACAGAGTTCACTATTCTAACTCGCATTACCAACACTACATTTTAATGTCTCTAAAACTTATCCTCTTTAAAAAATTGTACTCTTTTTAAAATCTATTTTTTTAATAATGTTTTCTCATTTTACATACCTATCCCTGGTCCCATTCCTCCCCTCTTTCTACTCCGCCAACTTACCTGCATTCCACACCCCATCCATTTCTCAGAGAGAGTAAGACTTCCCATGGAGAGTCAACAAATCTGACACATCCCTTTTAACCAGGACAAAGGCCCTGAATCTGGTATCAAGCAAAAGTGTAACTATAAAGTTTTCAACTCCATCAGAGACCTGAGAAGGAGATCATATTACCTGAGTAAGCAGGAAGTGCAATGAAACAACTTCCAAAAACTGTGAGAAATGAAAGAAGCAACTGGATGCCTGGACAGTCA